GGAGGATGAACTTGGCTCTGCGTCAACAGATCTCTGTATCATATATTTGCCTCCAAAGACGGGATCATCTTTTTCTGCTTTGAATCAATTCATTTTTCCTCTACCCACTCGGTAAATGGATCTTGGCAGTGATGAAATCAATACAGCTTCACAAGTCTGTTCTTGTCTTCAACTTATAAACAGGGGGGTCATAAATGGTAACCTCAATGTAGTGCTGGCAGTACAACAAAAGCCAGTTGTGTAACACTGTTAGCGGAATGATCAACAAAAGGTACATAGATATCATCTGCTGTAAATAATTGCAAAGCAACACTAATGATGATTGCCTCGACTTGGAAAAGAAAAACAATGGTGAGCTTGTTTGGAAGTATGTTCAATGTCAGTGAACCCAATGCCTTTATTTCTAAGGAACTTATATAAATAGGATTTCAGCCAAAGCAATTGTGCAAACATATGGAGTACTCTTGAATGCCTCAATTACAGTCCAGTGGTAAAAACATGACATTGAGGATTTTAAACCAGGCCACCAGGGTTGGCACTTATAAAACAGGCCATTAGTCTGCTATAATTGTCAGCAATACTGTCATACTTCTTTCTACGGCACACCCCAGCATTCGCACGAGCCATACATTTTGCGGTCACATCAATCAGAGGCCTGAAATTAATTGTGTGATTAAGATTCTCATTGCTTGGCAGATATAGCTACTAATGGATCAGTGACAAGTGTGATATGATCGTAAAGAGGGGATTTTAATGTACTGTTTAATTGCTCTTATGTGGTCCACGGTGTTACAACAGCAGCTTAACAAGCCCATTTCTTCTCCACGGTCCAAAGTCCCATTGGAAGTAAAAAAAATACTGCTTATCTCGGGTCGTGCAATAATGTTAGGGCAAGCATGGACAACGTTATTATGGCCCTCGAGCATATGCGACTAATGAAGCCCATACTGTGTGTCAGGTTTTACATTTTAAAGGTTTTATATTAGGCATGTGTGGTGTTTGAAATAGTTTTATGAACAGACAAATTATCCTACTTGTAGCAAGGGGTTTATAACTATATTTCTAGGTGCATTAATGTACATTTCCATCACTGGCAGGGAATGTTACCTAATTTATTAAATTGTTACCATTGCTCGTTGCACATTGAAGCGTGACATTTGACTTGGTTATTTCAGGAAAAAAGGGAGCTGAGAAACAATCTCTACTTCACAAAGCTGCTGGCTGTGGACTAAAGGCTCAACGTCGCTCAGATCTGTAAACACAAACAGTGCTGCACGCTGGGAGATAAATGCCAACAATAAAAAACATTCACTGGCAATGAGTGGGAAGTGCATGTGCCTTTCTTGCTTACATGTGCAAAGTTCAGTGATGTTTATTTTTTATGTGGCTGAGGATGCTTTGAAAAAGAACTTTACTATTGAGCCTTAATTTGGTCAATGTTACCAGGCAGGTGGTTGAAGCAGGGATTGGTGACATAGAGGATATAGCTGAGTCAAAATCAAACACTATTTCCTATCCATTCATGTTTAAATTGATGATCTTTTACCATTAAAATGTCCCTTTTTATTTAACTTTTGCTGCTCTAACCCCTAAGTCTCTTTATGTCAGATGAACTCTTTCTCCGGTTACTTTCACCTGTAACAGAAACCATTACAAAGGTGTGAAGACACAATCAATCAAAGATTATTCATTACGTTTTCTAGAGATGACAACGCACTCCTATTCATACACCGAGGGATTCCTGACAAAGTCTTTCTCCCGCTGCAAAGCAACCTCCTTTTATGATGAAAATGATGAGTTAACCTCCAAACCCGTAGGGGGCAGCAATCCTTTTGACTTCCTCCCTTTAGTCTGCCTTAAAAACATTGATGCAAACTCCCCGAGCCGTCAAGTGAAGGAATAAAGTGAAAAGTGACTTTGTTCACAAAGCCATTGATCAGCGCTCCGACTTGGTCTGCAGGGTTTGAGCTGAACTTTTAGAAAGAACTCTGTCATCACTATACTCTTCTTTCTACTAATGCCTTATCACCTCAAGGTAACAGGGTCGTCCTATACAGTAGATCCAAACTTGTACAACACAACAGAGGCAAAGAGTTTAAAATATCACTATTAGGAATATTATAAATGTCTATTATGGTGGAGGGTAAAGGTTCAAGAGAGGGGAAAGAGGTATGAAAGGGCAAGCTTATTAGAGATGAGTCCAGTGTTTGGTAAAGGTTAAAGCTGCTCTACTTCCCAGATACAACATACTGTATCCTCCTGAAAATGTCTATCGATATCCTTGGAGTAAAAAGCGAGAGGTAAGTAGACAGGCAAAGACGGGGGGAATCACAGAGACAACACCCCACTCTGCTCTATTGCCATTTAACCTTTTCTCTTTGCAGCGAGTACATATTTATTGAAAGCTATCGAAAGCTACTGCTATTGCTACTGAAAACATATCAAAATACACCCCAACCGTGGTAACTAAAGACACTATGCAAACATGCTGGGAGGGTAAATTAATCCCTTTGGGGGCGCGTGCAGTACGCACCGGCATACAATAAAACATCAAAACAAAAGAAGACTTGGAGGGATTTTTTGCGCTGACATTAAACATCGGCAGGCAAATGTCAACTAGACACAAACAATTCTCCTTGCTATTTTCATCTATACGGCTAAATCTGATGCTATTGTGTGTGTGTGTGTGTGTGTGTGTGAGGCTATACGTCTTTGACAGATGCCGGCAGCTCTGTGGCATGTCACTTACGCTACAATTTAAAACATCATCGCATTGTCATTGAGGGAATTCAATGAATGACAGCGTGTAAATGATACTTGTGTGTCTGAGGTGTGTAGTATGTACACACGCACGCACCCACACTAACACTAATGCACCAATTCAGAGTGTGTGACAGAGGAGGCAATTACCAACCATGCTTTTCCTCCATGCTTTATTTGCAATAACTGTCACCGGCAGAGCCTTGGCCTCCTTATCTGATTTGTATGAACATACTCTTAGGGATTATTGAGATTTGTGAAAGCACTGCTGGGAAATGTCGAAAAAAGTACGGAGAGGATAAGAAAAAAGGAACAGTAAGTGAGTGAGTGGAAAGGGATAGTGATATGATGTGGAAAGCAATGCCATATCGAGTATAGCAGTATCTCATAGCTTGTAGAAGTTGATGAAACGAGAGAAAAAATACATAACTAGAGAGAGGTTATTAGACAGCGTTTCAATTACGGGCTTTTTCTGATTGCGTCATGCCTTAGGAGCTTAGGGAGTGTGGCCATCAAGCTCTCACAGCGCGCCTCTCGTGAGTCACAGCCCAGGGGGCAGCCACACCACTAACACCACTTTCAGCATGATTCAACTTCTGGCTGGGCTGCCGACAAGAGGTATGAATCAGTTTGGTGCATCCCTCCAGTTAGAATTTAGATTTTGCCGCAATGAATACAAAGCCTGCTGAGTCACCTGAAGGTCAGAGGTCCAAAGGCCGCAGCAGGAAATGAAATTGTGTACATTTAAAGGTCCCCTATTATACTGTTTTTCATCAATAGATTATAGGTCTCAGATATATACAAAACATGTCTCTGAAGGGTTTTGCTCAAAATACCAAACAAATCATGCATTGTAGCGTCCCATAAACCCCTCTGTTTCAGCCCTGTTTCCAAAGTGCTGATTCTCTGTCTGTTACTTATTTAGATGAAAATAAGGTGCCACGCCCTTCTGCAAGATATTTGGTCTAAAAAACCCACCATGGTGCTCTAGGAGGAGATTCAGGTGATACGGTTGGGGGGTGTTACCTTGGTTGGTGATTGGCTAATGGTTACACAAGCCAAAAAAACGTTATGACATCATAAAGTGGCCAAAAGACAGGTTTTTATATAAATTGATCGGGACAAAAAGAGAGCGAATCTTTTTTCCTGAAACTTTTAGAATCCCTTTACACAGAGTGGACACATGTAAAAGACATGAAAAAGTGGATATTGCATAATAGGTGACCTTTAAGTTGCCTTTACACTTAATTTGAATGAGTAATATTGTAAACATGTAAATCTTATAACTCCTTTAATACAAATATGAATATAATGTGAGCCCACTTGCCATTTTATAAATGTTACAAATAAATGTGACGTTGTAGTGGAGTAAAATGTGTCTCAGAGGGCAATTTCTCTACAGGTTGAACATCCTATGGAGGGGTTAACAGCCTGGGTGCCAGGCTGAGTACTATGTGCAGGAGTGAGGTTGGCATTAGGGGCCCCCGGACTGCCAAGGTGCTGCGCCGCCGGAGCCTGCTGTCAGAGGGACGGAGCGCATGCTGGACAGGGGCAGTAGCCTCACCATCTGTTGCACGACAGCCAAAGTCACCCTGTATGTAGACTGTGTGTCTGAGAGCCAGAGTGGGTTTGTGTGCATAATCAATGTGTGCATGTTACTGTCCCTGTTCATGTGAGTGTCTGCATATGCTAAGAGCTGCAATTGTGCCTTGCTCAAATGACTTCCATTAATTGAAAGGGTTCAGAAATAAGTCTGTGTTTCAATGTGTGTGTGAGAGAAAGATTGGTAACTGAGTGTGTCTGGGATTGGTTAGGTTCACATGTTTCCTTTTGAAACCATGTGTGTTCATGTGATTCTCAGCTCTCATTTTGTAGTGGTAAAATTGGGGGGCTGGTGAATATTAAGGTGTATGTTTACTTTGTTAGCCCGGTAACAGCTTAACTACACATATACATTTTTAGGAGAAGTATTTTGTAGCCTTAAATACTTATCGGTAGAGTAACTTATTTGAACAAATATGACACTGGTTTAATTAACAAAACATCATTAATTGCAAGGATAGACAAATAGAAGGGTTGATGGGTTGATTGAGCAGTTGAATGCACACAGGTGCAGCCACAGTGATGGTAAGTAAAGTAATTTCTGGATTATTTTAACTAATCCAAATTCCAATGTGTTGCCGATATTCTTTTTTTAGCAGCAGTTAAGTAAATAGGTCATAAAGTGAGGTAATACTGACCACTTCTCGGGGCAGCAGGGAGTCCTCTGGGCGAATCACCAACAGGTTCACAGTCCCTCCCATGGGCGTGGCTCGGAGCAGGGCCACCACCTCTTCCTGGCTCTTTCCATTCAGATCCACGCCACTTACCTGCACATCAAAACAAATACATGAAAATCATAAATATTCAAATGTGCACAATATACATGTCAAAGAAATGTACACATAAATTCAACAAAAAAGAAATCACAGAGCTCTGACTTTGACGAGGGGGGAATCTGTGTCCTCCACATAACCTTTATGCAGAATACCAACTGAGCTAGTTGCGGCTGGTATTAGAGTGAGCACCAGCTGATTTTCATGTCAGTCTTATTGAAGAATAATCAAAATATTGTAACATTTTCCTCAGTTATTCAAAGCTGGAGCTGAATGCGTATAGCCAGAGGGAACAATGCGTGTTTTAATCATTTCAACAAAAGCTCCATAAGATTACATTTTGGAACAAACCCATATCAGCAACAGAGTAATTAATTCATTGTCTGAAATAATGTGCAATTCCACAGAGCGATGGTTAGAGGTTGCTAGAAAGTGCTGCCCCACCTCCAGCAGCCGGTCTCCAGCTTTCAATCGGCCATCTTGGATAGCGGCCCCCCGAGGAAGGATGTTTTTGACATAAATGGGAGCGCTGCCACCAATGGGGACGTCCCTGGATGTGATGCTGAAGCCAAGACCCTCAGGACCTAGAAACAATGAAAAGCAGATAGTTAGAAAGCTAAGGTGATAACTTACTCTCATTCAGAGGTTTCCTAACATCAGTCCTTGAGTTCACTTGCTGAAGGAGACTTTATCAAGTGTGTTTTGTAAAGCAGGTTTACATGAACATAGGCAGTACAATTGAAGGATTGTCACTCACATGCTCCCACACTGTGCAATCAAAGAATAATTATAGTGATATAACTGATTTACAACCTTGTGGAAGTGATATCAGTTTGAATAGAGAGAAATAAATAATGTGTTTACTGTATGTCTGGTTAAGTGTTCCAGCACCTCAATAGGAGTTCATAAATGTCAAGATGTGTTCCTTAAGGTAGATATAGTTTCAGATGTTCATGTTTTCATTTAAAAAGTCACTTGCTTTTTTTAACATCTAATAAACAACAGTACCGCTTTGTAAATAATGGAATATAAGTGGATGTGTGTTCCTTTGTATGCATTATACAATAAATAATGTGTATCTCCTTTGTTGTTATTTCTAATTAAAGTCAGAAGGAATGCAAAAATGCTGTACCAAACATCATAGTGCATTTTTAGTGACTATAAAAACTGGCCAGACTTTTTATACCATTTCTTAAAGAACCTTTTCATTATACACCACTGTAACATATGAAACCACTATGCAGGGATGAAATTATGGTTTTCCACCATGTGCTGAACGTATAGTTAATATAAACAGACTTACTTCCATCTTTCCCATCAGGGTGTGTCTCAAGCACGTTTCTTTTAGGGAAGTCCAGATGAAAATGTGTCCCTAACTCTAAATATAGTGTCAATGCTATGAACCAAAATTGAGTGTTTATGATAAGCGCATGTGGACTTATAACCGCTCTCGCAAGTTGTGGTCGGATTAAAGACTGGCTGGGACCAGAATAAGCAGAGGAAAGTGAATGATTATGGATTGCAAAATGCATTAAAATGCTGTTCAATACACAGTCGTGCACTTCATCTAAAAAAGCAAAAAGTACCATTAGCCAGATGTTTGAACCGAAAAACCCTTCATACTTCACGGTACAATGGCAGGGCAAGTCTGGGTCAGAGTAATCTTATACTATATATATAGAGACGGTTTGAAGTGGGCATAATGTAGAAAGCAGTGTTCAATTAGTGTTCATTAATAGCTTCCTACTAATGTATCAATGAACACATATACGTGCCTTTTTGGAGTGCAATGACTGGTAAGGCTACATGCAACAGCTGATTATGAGAAAGCACCTCATATGCAGCTGTGAGAGTTATTTGATTTGGGTTTTAAGACTGACCTTTAATGTTTATCAAATGAATATGAATTGCTGCTCTTGAGGAAGTAAGTAAATAAAATAACAGATAAATAAGGGGATCTCAGGCCTGACCTTTTCTGCTGACCAGACCTGAATTTATCAAATAAAAGCCTGAAATGGTTTTAAATGTCAGCTCGGGAATGAGGTTAACCAAATAAATTGCGTTTGTCAGGTTAATCTTTGACAAACCATTACAAAATTCAACAACCTTGCTTCATAACACAATTAGATGAGTCATTAAATACAGTGTTCAAAGGGATACATTCCGCCATGCATAACCTAGCCGCTGGCGTTTCTAGCAGACACATAGAAAAGTTGCGCAATGTGGTTTCATAGGAGGCTTTTTTGATGCTAACAACAGAGATTAGTATTCATGTCAAAGTAGCTGCTCATTTCACAGAGCTGTCAGCACCTCGGATGGTTCATCATGACCTACTTTTCCCAGTCTCTGCAGCAGTCTGACAAACTCTCTGTCGTCTCGCTGACAGTGATGGCGTTGATGAACAAGAAACACAAAGAGCGAGAAGCACGGATGCTAACTTTTCTCGTGCCCTCCTCACACAAACAAACTTGCGGGAAAGGTGATGAAGGGGCTGCTTCTAAAGTCAAAAAGTTGAGCTGTTGAGGATAATGACGTGCAGTGATCTCTCCATCAATGCTGCATGATAACTAAGCAGATAGAAATAGCTGCCTTATGTGGAATGTTAAATGTGCAGAGCTTGACTTCTTCAATGAAAAACTTTGAATACAAGGTCACACCGCAGCCATGGCAATCAGTAAGTTCATTTGCTATACTCAAAATTAAACTAAGAGACCAATAAAAGAAGACATATGTGAGTCCAGTCCTTTCTAAACGAATACATGGTCGGTGATATCCTACTGCACCTCTGTCTTATAGATTCAGATCTGATTAAGCTGCAGTTGGTGGTGCCCTTTTCAAAACCTCTTCATCACTGTCTTTGTTCCCCTTTCCACTGTGACCCCCTCCCATGTCGGTGCCTTTCCTCTCATCTGGCCTGCTCACGGCCTAATGAGCAGAATCAAACTCCTGCCCATTGAAAGATCCCGTCATTAACACTCTCCAATCAGGCAATTAAGAGAATGCATCTGTAGCCGGCCTGCAGTGATTAACCGCTGACGTCTTTATTTTGGGCAATGGAAGACAAGGATAAAAGTAAATGCATCCTTTAAGGATTAGTTAGAATCCTGGCTCCAATAGTCCAATTAAACATCGAACATGAGGAGAGGCTGAGGCAAATTAGAATGACTTAATGGGGTGCGTATGTCCTTTTTGACTGCAGCATTTGATTACGGCACTCTTGATCATTTGCCAGGCAAGATCTGCTCTTGCCACTCGGAACTCACTTAGGCCGAATCACAACAATTACAATGTATCAATAACAAAAGTGCCGAAGCCTTTTTCAAAGTACATTAGTAGTGATAAAGTCTGTTAGTAATCAAATGGAATTGTCAAAATGGACTTCAGGGGAACACTTCCTTCAACTCTTTTAGATTTGAATGCTCAGTTAGGTTTCCAATTCAACAATATTTGGATAATATTTCATACCCATTTAGAGTTCACGAATGGCTTGAACAAGCGAGGCACATCCATTCCTGTAAGCCCCATTTAAATCATGAGCAATAATCTCAGAAACCATTTCTGTCACTCGGGCATGAGCATACTTTTGAGAGTTATGGCCAGTGTTGAAGGTTGTTGTGCTCCCTATCTCTGTTTCTTATCCTATATCTAATAGAACTGCTTGGGTCTTGATAGATTGAGTGGGGAAGTTCATGAGATCTTTCTAGAGGGTTATCAAGAATAACTTTTATCCAATGACCTTTTCCCTCTCTGTCTGTGTCTGTGTATTCTCTTGTTCCAATTAACCCAGCCAAATCTTTTTTCTTGTTTTGTATCTATATCTACGCCGGGATCCGGAGTCGAGGCTGATCCTCTTGCTGTAGTTCTGTGTCTTGGATCCTCTATCCTGAGTTCTGGATTAAGTCGTGGACTTCGGGTCGTGGCTGAACCTGTCTCTGTGGTCCTGCCTTGGGTCTCGTCTTGCTGCTTCCCTGATGGCTTCCACAGGATTGTAGCTGACATCCTCGTGGATTCATCTTCTTATTACAGACACATGCATTTCCTAACATTCGGTCTATATGCTGTAAAATGTATTATCTCTTCGATTTACACACGGCATCTATTGCACGTCTGTCCGTCCTGGGAGAGGGATCCCTCCTCTGTTGCTCTCCCTGAGGTTTCTCCCATTTGTTCCCCTTAAACTGTGGGTTTTCTCTGGAAGTTTTTCCTTGTACGATGTGAGGGTCTAAGGACAGAGGGTGTCGTTTTTCTCATACTGATATTCTGAACAATCTGTGCTGTTGTATTTGCTGTAAAGTGTCTCTACTGTAGGCTATTTTTATTATATGTACAGCACTTTGGCTCGACCAAAAATCTTTATAAATGTGCTATATAAATAAAACTTGATTTGATTTGATTTGAATGAAACCATGAAATGGCTAGTTAAAAATTAAATAAACTGCTGGCATCAGTCCTCTAGAGCTACTGGACCTCCACCAACATCGCCCCACAGCGGTTTCACTAAAAATGGGAGGCTTGTGTGCTGGAAAAAAAGACGTGATACATATAAACACAAAAGTATAAATTGCATTGCCGTCCCACATGTATAAGGACTCTAAATCTCTGATAGAAGGGCTTGGGGAGCGCCGCCAAACATATTAGAGCGGCTGCATTTCCCCCGAGCGCGTTTCATTTAGCCTGCACTGCTGCCCTCACTTGCCGCACTATTCCCCGTGCCAGCGTTTAACTTAACATCAGCTCCCTTCAACTGAGAAAAGGAGAAAGGAGCCAGAGACAAAGAGAAGTCTAGTCGCCTCAGCACTGGTTAATTTTACAACCGACTGCTTGTCAATCATATACAGATAGTGAGGTGATGAAAATGAGATGGAGTCTGGCAGTAAACCCAACACAATGGTTGGCTCAGATATACTGCTCCAGTTTCAAAGGCCCGTCCAAGTCCACAAACAAACCAACCTCAGCTTGAAGCAGACTGATTGCTCAATCTTCATATTTCAACCACAACCGACCGTGGTGGTGATGTAGCCTGAGTGCATCAAACCACAACCTCTGTTTTGAAGAAGTGGTTGATCTGTGCTTTCTTTTGGCCTGCTCACTTAAACAAAGTCTCAAGGCAAGTACATATTTTCCTAACAGATTTGAGGTTGTCTGCCTCAACCAATTGCTTACATTTAAAAATGCATACAGTTCACGAGACAACCCTTTGTAATGAGGAGTTTAGACGGGTGACTGAGTGGAACATTGGTAATAGAGGCACAAATAGAAACAAGAGAGACAGGTGCTATATCCATCTGCTCTTCACTTGAAGGATGAACTGGTTTCAGCTGCTTGATGATCAAAATAGCAATTGAATGCTCCTGGAGGTGGGGATCAATAGATGTATTTTCAGCAGTCACATCACCAATTTCATCGTTATAAAACAGGTTTGCCAATAAAAGTGACTCATGTGAGTAACTCAACACATTGACTTTTCCAGGAAGTTAGTTTTATTTAGTTTTGTTGTTGCTGCCTATCCGTAACATTCGCTGTATGCATTTAAGAAAATCAACTGTTGACACTTTAAAGAAAAAAAGGTGTGCCCTACTTGCTCTTTGCTGGGCATCATGATACCAAACAAATATAGAAAATATAAAGATATTTAAGGTCAGAAAAACCCCATACAGTTTGAGTGCTATTGGACTGGTCTCCATGCTAATATAGAAGTTGTTTAGTTTGAGTATTGTTTAGTCATAAAAATGCAGCAGCAAAAGTACTTTTCCAGTCTCTTCCTTACCTTTCTTTAGCTGGATGTTGAATCTGCGTCCTTTGTTCTTTACGTAGGTGCTGTCGGACGGGTTTGTGCTCACCCTGCGCTGCAGGGAGAGGGAGGGGACAGAGGAGGTCCTGGAGACCAAGGTGTGCGGTAACGTGGCGCACCGTCGGCTCATCTCTGGGGTGCTTCCTGCCAGTGACGCCGGGTGCCTACAGAGAAACACAGATCAAGGTTTAATACCTAAATCAAATAAACTGTAACTCAATGTGGTGGAATTCTAAGCATTTCCAGCATGCATAAGCATAAGATTTTGTGTATATTTTAAAAAAATAAGCACATGTTTCAAGTATCAGTTTTGGGCCATTATTGAAAACAATGATATTGTCCTGACCCTGCTCGCTACCTGGATCACTCAGTTGGTTAAAATGCTCTTGTTCAGAAAATAACTTGATACATACAATGCTTATGGGGTAAGGGTTGTTATCTTGTTAAAAACATGCAATGTCCTTTTAATTTTTAGCTTATAACACATACTGTTTTGAATGAAAGGTATTTATATATTGCCATCATCTTTCAGGTTCCCATAACTCAACATGACATAAGTAACTCTGTGCAGAGATACTGTATCTCTAGCTTCCTGGAATTAGGCCAAAGACATTACAGAAAGGAATAGTAACCACTGGCAGATCAATTGGGCTTTTAACAAGATGATCAGTGATGCAGACTTGGAGGTCTCAGGTATAAATTGCTAATAAACTGCTTGCTTTTCTTTTATTGTGAAGCTTTTAAACATTGATGGATTCACAGTGAAGATAAAAAAGTCATTTACCGGTATAATGAAAATAGAATTGCATTTATTGGGAGCCTAAGACTGCTTAGCCTAATTATTTGCACAAGCATGAACTTTTGTTACTTTTCAAAGCAGGACAACATTAATTTCATGGTACTGTGTTTCTCACTTTCACCTGGCTTTCTAATTCTGTGTAGACAACATGTTTGCTGGATAGGATACACAAGATAACTTTTAAACATACTCATGGTCGAAGCCTGGTTGTGGTCCAGTTCTGGGTGTCATCCCCCCCACAAGACTGGACCTGTCCATCGGCGGTTGAGAATCTTGGCTAAAGCGGACTCTGTTGGGATGGGGCGGGCTGAGCTCGCTCTGGATAAACAGTATCTCGTAATGTCTTTTGAAGGCCGCGGGGACGACATGGAAGAGGATAGCCTGGCCACGCATCGCCTGCTTGAAAATATTCTGGGCTCTGGAGGTGATACAGAGAAAGTGAAAGAGAGCGGTGAGGTCATGCAAACAGAAGTAAATTAGATTTAACATGATAAGATATACAAGTACAATAATGTACTATCATAGCTTGCCAGATATAGAAGGATAACAGAGGCTATGTGGTGCTGTATGTTGAGAGAAGATAAGGAGATATGAGGTTAGCATGGCTAATCACAGGGCTACTCACCGCATAGCAGTAAAGGACACAAATTACATTATCTATAATTACCAGCATCAAGGCAGCAATGAGATAAGAAAGGTGAGTCATCAATGAGAAAATATAAATGACGTATTCAACATTATGCTACTGAAATGCTGGATGAGGGGCATTTAAGTGTCTTAATGGCATAGTAGTCTGTGGACATGAGTTGACTCCATAATCAGAACAGAAGTAATGAATCATGCATCAAGAAAGCTTTCCAGACAATGAGTTTCCAAAGTAAGCAGACACACACTTCTCTCCTTACAAACAAAATAAGAAAAACACAGCCAAAACACACACTCATTCTCATGTGACTTTTGGGGCCGAATAAGCCAAGACAAGAGCTCAACATGATTCCCAGACGCATGAATTGTTTAGTCTGGTTTGCCTGTAGCACTTAGCATATAGATAGGCTCGCCAGGAGCGAGCTATGCTGCAACATAAGGGGCCAGAGATGCGGTGGATTTCTGGATTCCAACAATCCCACCTCCTGTTTCCAAACCCCCATTACCACGCCAGTAATACCATGCTGATTGTATCCAAATGACAGCGGCTAAGCTGCTTCTGCCACAACAGACAGCACTTCATTTGAGCAGAGTCACAGAGGCGAGGCGCGCACGCTGCACCAAGCCACTTCTGCAGGATTTGGCCTCTCCCATCTTTATTCTTATGGTAATTTACAAAAATCACTCTCATGTGCACACTGAGGAGGGATGACTGAGTGAGTAAGTGTGTGTGTGTGTATGCGTGTTTGTGTGCGCACCTGCACATATACAGTGCCATCACTTCAGTAATCAGCCTCCACGCAAGCCTGATTGAATAATAAATTACCCCATCAATGCATCATTACATTCAGTTAGATTAAGCGCCTCAAAATATTTACCCATGCAAAACAATCCAAGGAGATTAGACTATCACTTTAAATTGTCACTCTCTGCGAGGCACAATCAGAAAGGGGGGGGGGGGGGCAGAAGTGATGATGGAGCGAGGGGGGCAGGGGGGAAGAAAAGTTTAGCTACTTCTCCTCATTTTCATGCAGAATCACAAACATCATATGCATTTGGATGCCGGTGAGGAACGTGTGTTTGGCACGGTGGGGAGGTAAGTGCGGAACGCTACAAAACATCACTCCCTAGTGGATTTGGTTTGTAAGCCTCTTTCACAGTAGAAAGGTTTGGAAGGAAACCGGGATGTTTACTAATGACAATAGCATCGTTTTGAAAAATAAAGAAAAATCCTAAACCCTTAGTGGCTTTATACACAGTCAGATGAACACATTGACATAATGTTGTAAGGTACCGTGACAACCGTGATCGTCGGGAGTTTCACAAGCTGCGGAGGGCTTCTCTAATCTTTGCCAAAGTTGGTTGTAACATTTTAAGGTATGCTTGCTTAAAGAAAATACTTTTCTCTCTTTGTCTCTGACTCTACCTCTATAGAGGCGAAACTTGGTTTCTGTCAATCATCAGCAGGTTAGAACTAAACCAAGGTGTTTTTTAATATCCATCCCAATCTGGGCCTTTGTGAGAGGTAATCCAGCTTTTCCACCAGAGTCTAGTGAGAATGAGAAGCAATCTGTTTATCTAGCACACACACACACACACACACACACACACACACACACACACACACACACACACACACACACACACACACACACACACACACACACACACACACACACACACACACACACACACACACACACACACACACACACACACACACACACACACACACACACACACACACACACAACACACACACACACACACACACACACACACACACACACACACACACACACACACACACACACACACACACACACACACACACACACACACACACACACACACACACAAGTGTAGATAAGATGTTAAAGCTTATTCTAACTTTGTGTACGTGTCAGCGCATGTGCAAGTATGTGTGAGATTGGACACATTAAGGTGATGCGTGTATGAGAGGGAGAAGGGTGGCTTTGGGTAAATGGGTGGAAAAGTCCCAGGTGAAATCTTCATTCCACTTTAAGGGATGAATGCGAGCGATGAATCGATATAAACAAATGGAGAGAGAAGTGTAGGCTTCCGAGGGCTGAAGGACTGTGACTCAGGGAAACCTATTACAAGAGGCTCAAGAAAGTCAGTAATATTTATGTTTTATTGTGCGGCTGAATGTTTGGCTCGAGTTATAGAAAGCAAGATTATATACTGCTATGTATGCCTAACACAGTGCTCTCAGTTTCAACCGTATTACTGAGACAGTGCACCAGGATAACACTGTATGTCTTGTATATTTTTGGAACCACTATAAAAAATTAAGTAAGATATATAATCATGAATAAAGGGTGGAATTCAGAGCTTACTGTTCAAAGCGTAGGTGGCGAATGTCTCCCTGGTTGATTTTGACGATACAGTCGTTCTCCTGGAAGAGTCGCTCCTGCTCGGCTTTTCCCCCTGGCTCCAGACGCTTAACCAGCAAGCCTTGCGTCCTGTGAAGGATCACACATCATGTTAGAGATAACACATCGTTGAGACACATACTGTAGTAGTTTGGAGACACAGTGACATATTAATATACTGAGCAGCAGGCAGCAAGTTGCAGGCTATATCCCCTGCATCCTCCTATTTAGAAAAAGGTAATGAGAGTCAACAGGAGACCAGCAAAGAAAAAAGGAAGTGAATTAAGAAGATGAGCTAGGTGGTAAGCATAAGGTGAGAAAATAAATGATTAGTTACCCAGAGTTGGTTGTTTTCAAACAACAGTGCAAAAGAGAGCTGCAAGTGTTTTTTTGTAGCCCCAACAGATGCTGAGGTAGTGTAATTAGGTCAAGAGAGTAACTTTAAGTTAATCATAATGTACTTTACTTCTGCACAATGCTGTCAACTACACAAAAAACATTGAACGTGGACATTTAGTTTTGGCCTAACAGATATGCATACATCTTAAAATGTCCTTGGCCATTATAGTAAGGCAAGGCAAGGCAAGTTTATTTATATAGCACTTTTCAACACAAGGCAATTCAAAGTGCTTTACAAAAAATAAAAGACATTGAGAAAATGGCATTTAAAATCAGTCATTAAAAAGAAAAGCTAATCAAATAAACATTAAAAGAAAAAATACATGGATAAAAGTTACAGTGCAGTCTAAGATATGAATAGTTCAATTAAAAGCAGCGACAAAAAGAAAAGTCTTCAGCCTGGATTTAAAAATAGTCAGAGTTGCAGCGGACCTGCAGGTTTCTGGGAGTTTGTTCCAGATATTTGGAGCATAATAACTGAACGCTGCTTTACCGTGTTTAGTTCTGACTCTGGGGACAGAAAGCTGACCAGTCCCTGAAGACCTGAGAGATCTGGATGGTTCATAATTTAGCAGGAGGTCAGAAATGTATTTTGGGCCTAAACCATTCAGTGCTTTATAAACCAGCAGCAGTATTTTGAAATCTATTCTTTGACACACAGGAAGCCAGTGTAAAGACTTCAGAACAGGAGTGATGTGATCCACTTTCTTGGTGTTAATGAGGACTCGAGCAGCGGCGTTCTGAATCAGTTGCAGCTTCCTAATAGATTTTTTAGTGAGACCTGTGAAGACACCATTACAATAGTCGAGTCTACTGAAGATAAAAGCATGGACACGTTTTTCCAAATCCTGCTGTGACATTAGTCTTTTAATCCTAGATATATTCTTTAGGTGATAGTAGGCTGATTTAGTAACTGTTTTAATGTGACTGTTGAAACTCAGGTCAGAGTCCATGACTACACCTAGATTTCTGGCTTTATCTGTTGTTTTGAACATTGCAGACTGAAGCTCAGCGCTAACTTTTATACGTTCTGACTTGGCTCCAAAAACCATTACCTCAGTTTTATCTTTGTTTAATTGGAGAAAGTTCTGACACATCCAGTCATTGATTTGTTCAATGCACTTACTCAGTGTTTGAATTGGAGCATAGTCTCCTGGTGAAATTGTTACATACATTTGTGTGTCATCTGCATAGCTATGGTAACTTATTTTGTTGTTTTTCATTATCTGAGCCAGTGGTAGCATGTAGATGTTAAAGAGAAGAGGCCCCAAGATGGAGCCTTGAGGAACCCCACATGTCATATTTGTCAACTCAGATGTGTATTTACCTATAGAAACAAAGTTGTTTCTGTCCTTTAAGTAGGATTCAAACCAATTTAGAACTGTTTCCGAAAGTCCCACCCAGTTTTCCAGTCGGTCTAGTAATATGTTGTGGTCAACAGTGTCAAACGCAGCACTGAGATCTAATAATACTAACACTGAAGTTCTGCCACTGTCTGTGTTTAAGTGGATGTCATTAAAGACCTTTACAAGAGCAGTCTCGGCGCTGTGGTTTGGACGAAAGCCTGACTGGAACACATCGAAACAGTTATTTAAATGCAAGAAATTACTCAACTGTTGAAAAACAACTTTTTCAATGATTTTACCTAGAAATGGGAGGTTTGATATGGGCCTGTAATTGTTCATTACTGAAGCATCTAGATTATTCTTTTTTAAGAGCGGTTTAATGACTGCAGTTTTCAGGGCCTGTGGAAAAATACCTGAGTGAAGAGATTTGTTTACTATATGAAGTAGATCTGAGGCCATGCAAGGCAAAACATCTTTAAAAAATCCTGTTGGAATAATATCAAGGCAGCAAGAGGAGGATTTCAGAAGTTGTATAATGTCCTCTAGGTTTTTATCATTAATCTGATGGAATTGTGTCATGGTGTTTGAATTGATGTTAAGTGGACACAAAGACAACACATTTGCTGTTCCTGATGCAGAGGCACTGACTGCTTGTCTGATTTTCTGAATTTTGTCAGTGAAAAAGGAGGCAAAATCATTGCACGCCCTGGTGGATAGAAATTCAGAGGCTACTGACACTGGGGGGTTAGTTAGTCTGTCGACGGTAGCAAACAAGGCACGTGCGTTGTTTTTGTTTTTGGTAATTGTCACGCCCTGGCTCAAGGACGGACAAAGGAAGGAGACCACACATGATTCATCCAATTGAAGTGCATTTATTTAAAGAAACTAAATTAACTATGAAGTCAGTTAATCAGTAATGTGTGTAGTGTGTGGGTGTGTGAACATGCATCAGTATATAACGAAAGAACAAACCAACCAATCAACCAACCAACCAACCAACCAACCAAGGTCCAGTAGAGCCAAGCAACCCAAGAGGAGAGAAAGACTGACTGCTCAGGCACCCATACTTGTAGCTGAGCAGTCAACCCAAATCAGGTGTCAGCAATCTCTCCTGATTTGGGGAGTGGCTAACCAGGGACCTGAGTCTAAGGCCTAGGGGCCGTCACATAATGATGTCAGAGAAGAACGATTGTCGTGCGTTTTTCAATTCCAAATTATAAAGGCCAAGTCTCTCTTTATAGATTTCAAAGTGAACCTGGAGTTTTGTTTTTCGCCACCTGCGTTCAGCTTTTCGACATTCTCTTTTTTCTGTTTTCACGCTCATGGCCTTTCTCCATGGAGATATTTTCTTGCCAGACACTTCCTTTACCTTAGTTGGAGCAATGGCATCTATAACATTTTTAATTTTTGAATTAAAATGATCTACTAGCTCATTTACTGAGATGTTAGCAGGGTAGCCGTAATAGGTGTCCAAACAGTTGGAATGAAAGTAATTAAATATTAGCGGCTAATGCATATCTGAAATAGGCATTGTTAAAAAGTATGGCAGCAGCAGTCCCTAATATCTAATAAAGTTATGTAATATGAAAGAGGATGGAATACAATATCCCTTAAAGAAGTTTCCTGTTGCTGTTCCTTTTTTAAAGTGGACCTATCATGCAAAATACACTTTTGTACGTCTTTTATACATGAATGTGTCCCCGGTGTGTCAGGGAACTCACCAAGTGTCAGAAAACACAACCCTCTCTCTTTTCCCCCATACCCAAATCTCTAAAAACGGACTGATACAGATTTCAAAATTCTCTGACGTCAGGAACGAGGAGCTCCGCCTATATGGGCAACTCTCCACCTATCAGGAGGAGACAGCCACGACCATTGCCGTTTGAAAGCGCTGGAGACGCTGTAGTACATATGCCAGGCCTGTAGGTGGCGCTGTAGTCTGCCACAAAAGCCCCAAAGAAGACTTCTTACAGATTCAGCCCGTGCAAAAACAGGGCTAAAAAAAGAGTAAATAGAGCGAAATGAGGCATGGCTAAAATGCATGATCTGTTTTATATAGGTATGGGACTACAATATATTATTCAAATATAGCATGATAGGTCCACTTTAAGTTAACTTTCGAAACTTTGAGTTTAGATAAAGACTAACATTTTCCTGAGAACCACTGATTTACAACATTTTAAGCCGGTGTCCGTCCCTCTGTCCTCCACTCTATCTGCCTTTCTGTGGGCAGGTTTGATAGAATGACAGGGCGGTTTGTCTGGAGTAATCCAGACCAGCAGCTAAGAGATCATCTCATGGCTGCAGAGGAAACGCTGCAGTTTCCTTCACTGGAGCTTAAAACGAGAGCCGGCAGTGTTATAATAAATACTCAGGCAGTTCCACAGCAGGGCCATCTCAGCAATCCCTTAAAAGAAGGCAACCTTTACCTTCAAATAAATACATCAGTGAGCTCCTTGGGGCTTTAGTTAGGCCCTGAGGATAACCACATGCAAAGAGATCTGATGTGCGCTCGCACAGCAGAACTACAAACTCCATCTGTCTCTAAGGCGCAAGATGCCTGAGGTAGCAGGCAGACTGACTGAGTGCAAACATTTGGTGTCCTTGCAATAACTGACAAAAAGTTTGGAAGCTTACTTTTGGGAAATTAAAAATAATGATGAAATATAACAGAGCCAAAACTATTCCGGAGCCAAAGATGTACTAGATACAGTCGCTTACAGGGCAGCTGACAGCTTATCCATGGCAAGGACATAAGCTGCCTGATTTTCATAATGTCCTGATACTTCCTGTTGTTTTACTGGACTCATAAACAACAGCACATTTCATTGTGACCCTGTTTACTGCAGACGTCAAGGGCAGATTCTTCGAGCTCTTTAGCATTTCAGCCAAACAGGGCCACTCTCTGAACATTGGTCTAATTGGCTGCTTAATGTGGACATCCACGCTCTCACCACAGACTCATCTCAGCTCGTCAATGGGGGGAAATGGCTCAGCATTAAGTTGAAATTAAAGATCACAGGAGGCCCTTCCCTCTTTCTCGGTGTCCGAGCCGGCGTTGCCAGGTCAGCTTAAGTGTGTTGAACAGAGAGTAATTGCGGGCCGCGTGGAAGCGGACATGATTGTGCTTTATCTCCATAAGTGTTGGCAGCTTGAAAACAAAGTATTGCGAACGGAGATTACATCATGGACACACTCTAATGACTCCTGATCTGCTAGCAGAGCAGAGACAGTAGATAAAGGAGTTTTGGTTGATCCCTGATCAGTATTCAAAGCAGCAACAGGGAGGATTAGGGGCAAAGCAGCATCTTTTAGAGATTTGAAGAAGATGATTTAGTAAAAGCACTATTATTGTGATGGCTGTAATGCACTGCCAACTCAATTCCTCCTCATCTCACTGATGGCTTTTTTTGTGGATAGTTTTCAAGCTCTTGGGCAAAAAGCAGGAGGGCTAAAGAAAAATCTAAAAGGTCTTTTCCCACAGGCTGTTAGTCAGTGAATTAATTCGGTATTGGATATGAGCACATGGAGTTTCTAGTTACAAACATCAGGAAATACATCTAGCCTGCTAAATGTCAGTGTTTCTAAAACATAAGACTCAGCATTGCACTACACTGCATGGCCTTACTCCATCTTGTGGCTGGGCAGCAGTGCTGACAACTGATTTGAAGGAGGCCACCTGCTCTCGTCTCCTGCCTCTAATCAAATAATAATCCAATCAGGATCTATTTATGCATGGCAATTATGTCCGCAGTTTGTTTACAATCAAAACTGGTCATGGAATGAGAAGTTCATTAAGCAAAGAATGTATCTGCGATGGGCGTGTGTATTTGAGCGTGCAGATGTACAGTATATTTATGTGTGCAGCATTCAAGGCAGATCAGCAATGCTTAAAATACAGTTTGCGTGTGTGTAAGAAAAAGAAAGTGATCGCAAAAATCCTTTCAGGAACACACTGCTGGAGGTAAGTCCATACTCTTCACTGCATGGGTGTAAGGTATGTGCATTTGGTTGTGTTTGTGAGAGGTAGAGAGTCTCTAAGCTCTCTCCTGGAGCTGTCTGCCCCTCCTGCTTGGATCTAACTTGATGTCAGTACAGTGGAGCAGAATGCGATCAGGCGACGTTGGAGCGCCTGCAGTTCCTTGTTTGCTGTCTGCTTTCACTGTCTGTCTGACCCCTGTGGCACTGGTCTAGACACTAATGACAGCCCGCTGAGGCTAATGCCTCCTGTCCTAGCGCACAGCATACAGGAAGGAGCTGGGCCGGGCCATTAGCATCATCCCACTGACCAGACGCTAAGTCTTATCATGTCTGAAGTTAATTGAAGGCTCTGATGGCTATTAGTGCCTACCTTAGCTGATGGAGAAGAAACCTACTCACAATGCAGCATTACCGCTCTATCTTGTAAGATGCAGTTGTGGGAAGAGCTTAAGGATAATAGCGTGCCTAATAAATGTTGGATTTGAACTTTATTCAAGCGATATTGCTGAGTGCGAGTCATCATGAATCATTATTTTGTTCCTCTGACTCAGGATATCTCATAGTGCCACAGCTTTTTAAAGGAGTCAATAGCACGAGGTCAGAGCTAAATATAGTTTCCTGACACTTGCTTATAAACAGCAATGGGATTAGTGTCCCAAAGAAATGACACGCAGCAGTCTTCAATGACAGCCAGCTTCTCTCCCTCAAATGTCATCCCATTCCATCTCCTCACTTTGTCTGTTCACCCCCCCCCTCTTTCCCAGCGCTGAGTAGTCACATTCACCTTGGTGCTGTGCCAGTCCCTTGGCCTGCAGCGGGGATCTGTGTTATACACAAGCTTTTAGTTTGATTACATCTGGCTACTTCCTCTCTCCTTTATTTTTCTGGAACAATTGTAAAACTGGGATGTATGCTCCTCTTGTCCCCTTGTCATCGACACTACTCACATGTTTAAATAAAAGGGCAAAAGAAAAATCACCTTCAAGGCAGAGCAGACACCGTTGTGACTGAGGACATAGGTTAGAATAAAGTCAAAGAATAACACTGCATGCAGTCAAGAGCAGAGCTGCTTTCATCTGTTTTTCTTCCCACTGGGGGCTTCTGGCCTTTCACAAATGAGTATTACTGGGTATGTGCGTAGTGTTTTGGAAACGGGACTCACAAAAACAAAAAAACGGCGAGAACAATCAGTCAGTGAAAAAAACCACCTGGAGTAAAATGTTAAAAGAGGTGAATAAGAAAGAACAGAGTGAGAAAAAGAAATATAAGAGGGAAATGATGAGTAAACGCAACAAGAAAGCAACATCCACAGGCCTTCAAACCAAAGGAAGTAGGAGGCACATTGGATGGTGAAACTAACTAGCTATTGTTGCGCACTAAGCTGCTTTGATTCAAATGTTGCAATCTCTTTTTTACCTGATATCGTGGGAACTGAGCGGCACTACGTGGATCCCCAGGGGCCCTCCTCCATTGGACACTTCGACTGGCTTGAGCAGGCCTCTGCAGGGCGATGATGGATGAGGCCGAGGGGGGGAGGCCGGGGGAGACAAGCATGAATACAAAACAACAGGAATGACAAGAAAATGTAGAAAAGCAGGATATAAAAGACGACACAGTCAACATGACACGAAGTTGATGGGATGTATGGGATGGGGGTTGGTGCGGCCTTATTGGCGGTGGTTGCATTGTGTTGTCTACTACACAAAGTCATCCATTACAAAGTCAGGCTGGTGGACCTCAGGGTCGATTATGGACCCAAATGGAGACTTCAATTAAGTGATTAGGATCAGAGTGTTGTGCTAAAAGAGAACAGATTAATTGAAAAATGTGTTGGGGAACGGAGGAGGAGAAAGAGAAGTTTAATTTGTGTAGATAAAGACGTGAAGACAAATGAACACAAGCTACCGGTGATGCAGATGTGTGTGATGATGTTGATGGAAGGGGGCGTGGTGTTTATGTACTCTATTGTCATTGTAATTTGGTAAAATGTGATGGCAATTTTCAACCTGTATTACTTGAATACATTAAAAGGTAATTTCACCCAAACAATTACAACATGGATATATTGTTTTCTTACCTCTAACCCCAGGTTTTAAGATCTCCTCAGCCACCCCACCCCAATACAATGAATCAGAGTTGTGGTTAACATTAGAATCCTTAGAGCTACATGCGTAAATGAACAATAACTTCCCATTATTTATACAGACAAAAATTGCCACTATTCGAAAGAAACTTTGCCAGGGTATCTTTGCAAAAAACAGCACTGCAAACTAAATAATTTTGTGGTGGCAGACAGATCAGAAAACGCAGATTTTAAATGGAAAAGTAAAACCAAAACTATAAAAGGTGGATACGAAAGACATTTGGTATAGTACATGTGTGTATGTGTAGTCAGGGGGATTGTTGGGATCACTTACTCTAGACTAAACCCAGGTGAATGTTCCAGAGAAGAATCAGCCCTCCCTACTGGCTCTATGCGTTCAATCCTCCTTTCTTGTCTCCTTCGCTCTTCTTCTTCCTCCGCCTCTTCCTCCTCCTAAAAAGAAAGAAACAAAAAGGGAAAAAAGGGAAGGGTAAATCATTAAAAGCCTGTTCCAGCAAAGTAAAACACTCACACTCTCAATGTCATCATTTATTATTTGGCTGTGCTTGCATCTCCCTTGGTCCTGCCTATATTTCTCCTCTGGCTTTTAATCCAATTACCTGCAGGAACAAGTAACGGCCTCAATTTTAAATCAAAATAGACTTTCAGTAAAGTGAAGACGTCATCACTGAGGATGCTACAGAAACATCCTTTTCGGAGCCAAAAACTTCAGTGACTGTAGTGACAAAGTGGCCGTGATCGATTGCTCCTTCCCGATCAATCAGGTCTGGTCCGGGGCGTGGCACCGCTGCCGGGTTTTTTGCTGTGATGCGATCGGGTCCAGAGTGAAGGAAAGTGGTCGCGCACACTGTCATTTGTTCCTCTCACTCTCTTCATTTCATTTACTCATCTTCCTGCAGGGCGATTAGGCAGCGGGGCCGGTAGGCAGTGGCTTCTACAGGGCAGCCAGACGTCTGAGGACTTAACTAGGCTCTGGAACGAGAGCGGCTTCATGCTCCCCTTAATGGGGGATAACATCTTTATCTGAGCTCTCTTTACGGGGATGGTACAGATTGAGCAGGGCACTTACATGCAGTGCTGACATGCTGCATGTAGAATATGAGGGAGACAGATTTAATAACCTAAGGTTCCATTTCAACTATTCATGTGTTGAAGGTTAGACACATGGGAGGTTCATCAACAAGTGACAAGAACAGTGATCATCAACATTTCAAATTTACAAAGGACAAGGTCATTTCAGGATTTCTTCTAGTCCTGTTAGTAACTGCTGCTCCGTGTGTGTGTGTGTGTGTGTGTGTGTGTGTGTGTGTGTGTGTGTGTGTGTGTGTGTGTGTGTGTGTGTGTGTGTGTGTGTGTGTGTGTGTGTGTGTGTGTGTGTGTGTGTGTGTGTGTGAACCTGTCAGCCCCCAGACAGTGCAACGTCTCCTCTGAGGGTCTGCTGAAACGCTTTGTTAGCCACCGCTATTTCCCCGCCCTCACCCTTCACCTCCCTTTTTCTCTCGTCTTTGGCTGAAATGTCAAACACATCCAAATAGGTCCTGTGCCATTATGGTTTCTTTATGGAAATGGCTCAAACCCTTTCAGAGCCCAGGATATCTTTGGTGACACACAGGCGTGGCACAGAGGGACTCTCTCACCTATTTATTTATAAGCGTGGGGGGAGGATATTTTCCTCAGCAGTCTACCTTAGCTAAAGAGACCTCTACCTGTCTATTTCCTCTCTGTAACAACGCGGTATGAAAATGAACCGGTCCATCAGTCAGCCCTTTAATTACGTGTCAGCTGCGATCCCAGGTGCCTAGTGGGGCCCAGTATTCACAAAGGCTTTTATGAAAACCCCCCCAGGTGGGTTGGCTGATTTTCTTTTTTTAACACATATATGCTTTGCACAAAGGACCTGTCTACCTGTGGTCTCAATGAATAAAGACAGGAGAGCATGAAGTGGAGAAGACATGTGAAATTGGAAAAGAAGAATAAATATTGTACCATACTTTAAGTATATGCTTTACAAAGAGATATAAGGTATGTAAGCCAATAGAATGTTGACTTTAGAAATGTTCATACAGAATGAAGGAGGTGATGGGGCTCATCATCTTGTGTCTCATTAGACGAGTGACCTCAGTGTATCATCACAGAAAGTGACATGTAATTAACTTCAGTAGCTCTCAGCAACAATCTTCTGTCTGTGAGTTTGCTGGTGAAGATGATAAGTGGTTCCCTTAAAAATGTATTATATTTGATGTAATTAAGAAAAAGTAAAGGAAGAGAAAGACTATCTGCGAGTCAGTGCACAAAGGTGAAGGGATGCTTCACTTGCACAAGGCCAAATGCAAAAAGTGCAAGCAGGTTACGTGTGAATGTGACATGTAAATTACCAAACTGTGGTACGAGCAGATGTCAGAGGAGCACTAAAGGGAGGTGATATTTCTATTTAGGTATATACCAGGTGACTGGTGTCAGAAACGAAGAGGAACTGTGAAAATAGCTGTAAAGGAAAGAGAAACTTGTGATAAAAAAATGAAGAAGTTTCATGAGGGTGAGCAAAACAGAGAGAGCTCGAGGAGAGAATAAAGAAAAGGGCTCAGAAAAGATCATGTAGGGGGGAATTGCGTTTTAAAAAGTTCAAATTTGCAGAGACATATATTTATAAAAGTGGGAACCACTCCAGAAAGAAAGAGATTTTCATTTGTTTCAAAAACTTTTCATATAGCTGTATTCTTCTCATCTTATTCTCCAAACACAAAACGCAGTGGTCCACCTTACACACTCCTGTTTCAGACTTTGACTTTTCTCGCAAGGACATCTGTGGAACAGGTGAACTGCTTTAGATATGAAAGAGGAATCATTTCACTGCTTTGACAGGATTCGTAATGCTTTTGTGAAAAATGTACCAATGTTTTGCAGCTCTAAAGTGAAACATATCGTCATAATCTAGCTGGAACAAAAGACATGCCCGTCTTACACTCCTGGTTTTGTTTGTGCTAGTGTTCTGATGTAAGAGCACAGCTGTGGTAAGTGTTTTTATTATCATATTATAATGTGCAACACGCTTTCCACCGTATCCAGAAATGCATGATTGACACTTTGACACTGGGTTAAGACGGGGCTATCCAACCAGCAAGGGCAGCGCCTCTACATTATAGTCTCAGGAGAAAGACTGAGCTCTAACCAGACACACACTGGATATAATGAGTAATTACTTAAGATTGACATTTCAAGCAGTGAAGTCCTCAAAGATAGCTGCTAACTTCTTGCTATAGTAGTTGAGGCAGTGGTGTAGGGGTCAGTGTCTCCTTGTGACCAGGGGCAGAAGAAGAAGAAGCCATCTCCCTTTATATTGCCTGCCAGCCCACTTACTGTCTGTCCTTGAGTCAGAAACAAAGCCATGCACTGAGTGACAGTGGATGGTCAGAGGAGAGACACAGGCTAAATATACATCCATCTGTCCCGCCCTTCCATTCTCCCTCTTTCTTTGTCTCTCCATCATTCTGAATCTATCCCTTCCCCAAACCAAAAATAACCCTCCATTTCTTCCTCCCCTGAGTGCTTTTAGCACCCTGTTGATCCCTTGGTAACCAGCGGAGTGGGAAAGCAACAAGGCTTTTCAACTCTCCATGGCACTCATTTTTATCACTCTCTCTCTGCTTCATTTCTCCCTCCCCCTTCTCTCACCCTTCCTCCCATGCATTAGAGCGAGCCTGTAGCCCTGATCTGTTGCCAACAAATCTACCAGCTCCTTTAACCCTTGCTTTTGCTCTCCTTCATTGTTGGAGGTTTGGCCATAGGACAGCTGCAGCATATGATTATTGAAACGCATACAGGAAAGGGAGAGAGGGAGAGCTGCAAAGTGCAGAGTCTTGTTACCTTCAAATGGACGGACAGGTTAGAACGGGAAGAGGACCAGGGAGAGAGGAGAGGAGTAGGAGTGAGGGAGGTTGGGAAGGGTAGGGAGGCAGCTGCTCATGAACGACACACACACACACACACACACAGACACACATATACACACACGTACACACACAAAAGCCCTACTGCTTGGGGGTTTGGGCACAGGGTGTGTGTTGAGGAGCTGTCAACCTCCATCAACCGCTGTCCTAAAGGACACCTACAGTAAGCAAGTGTGTGTGTGTGTGTGTGTGTGTGTGTGTGTGTGTGTGTGTGTGTGTGTGTGTGTGTGTGTGTGTGTGTGTGTGTGTGTGTGTGTGTGTGTGTGTGTGTGTGTGTGTGTGTGTCATGCCATTAGCATGGGCAAGTAACATGTAGCCGTTAGGCGAAGCGTGGTGGGGACTCCCTTCTGAGTCCACAAGGGCTTAACAAGGACAGGTTCAAAGGTCGCAGTGGATTGTGTGTTTGTGGCCACCACCCCTCCTTCAGGGCTGGGGTCCACATCTGTGGGACAGCTTCAAGTGTGGAACAGGCCTCCCTGTCAGACAATGTCACCCGTTTCCTTACAATAAGCCGTATGTGCCCAGCAGAACAAATGGAGGCCAAAGAACAACATATAGATGTATCTCAAAATGAACACAGTGGTATGTTGGCTATATTAAAACAATAAAGGACACAATTAAGTCAAAGCATTTAGCAATATGACTGTTGAAATATTTATTTTTGACATGGCCAGCCTACATTTGAAACATGAATTGTTAAAGCTGACATACAGGACGCCCCTTATGGAAACATTAAACCAGCCAAATGTAACAAACGATAGCAAAATGTGAAGGAAGGGCGAAAAAAACATCGGAGGCGGAGCCTTTTCTCTCTTTCTCATAAATAGGTTAAGGAGCCATAGTTGTACCCTCATTACCTCCTGTCAATGCTAACAACTGTACACCAGAAAAGACCTGAAAGGACTTCACAGTATCGCTGCATAGCACAATGGCACTGACATACAGAAACAAGCTGCCGGTAATAACTCCTAATTGTGCTATTATAGTTCATTTGACCTCACAAAGTAATTATCAATAATTTTCCATCTTAACCAGAGCCAGAATCTTGCTGTTTTCAATCAGCTGTTAAAATAAGTTTAAATGCATTTGGCACAATGATTTTTCACCTACATTTGAACCACAGATGATCCCAACTAGTGTACTTAAATTAGAGCAGCTGCCTCCACCAGCTGCTGATGGATGGCATGTGCAGTGCGTAGGATGACCTGTTCATGGCTGTGACAGAATTGACCACGGATTATTCTTCATGTTACAGAAGGGCTTTTATCCTTCATATCCATCCCCTCAGAGGAAAGCGCCACCAGGGCCAAATTATGCACCAAAACGGCCTCTGTGAATAGATTGGACATGACTGTTGCACCCAACGACCTCGCCCCACCCTCTCCCCCATCGTTAACCCTTCCTTCCCCACCAGCCCATCAGACTCCAACGCCATTAAAACAACCAATATGTCACAATGATACAAATGATGAGACACTTATTTAC